TATTTTTATTTTCATGACTTTGTAAGAAGGGACATGAATCTTCCCAGAAAATCTTCCAGAACACCTGGAGCAGCACAGGCCTTTACAGAGACATACAAACTTACAGATAGAGCAAAGAGCTGATAGAAATCCCAACAAGCCTATAAATTTACACCAGATCACGCCATCCGTACAGTAATACTGATGTACTATGCACAAAGTTCTAGGATTATTCATCTAAAGTGGATAGCAGTCTACCATGGATTATTTATACACCGAAGACATTGATGAATACTAGTAAAGACCAGAAGCAGGATTTCCATGATAATCTCCGAACTCGATGCACGGTCCTGCTGAAGCATTAATCAGTTATACAACATATATATCCCTAAAGGACCATCAATCGTTCCCAGATCCGCACTAGCATGTGCTAAAGTGACCCAAGCAGAGCGGCAAAGAAGTTTCAGTTGGATTTTTCCCCGAGTTGACTCTCTGACTGGTGTTAGGAGTGGCTGCAGGCAGTCTGTGGTATTTAAGGATATTTTTCTGAGCTGATAAAATGTCAAGGTTGCCTCAGACAGGTGTTGCAGCAATTCCACCTTATCTAGCGTCGCACCAGCCATCGGCGGATGAGCCCAGTTAACATGCAACTCTGCTCATATCACTGTCTGATAAGTGTGCCCACACAGACACATGCAGCCAACCCTTCACTGAGTCACATTTACTCAAATTGGGAATTGGAACGTGTGTGTGTGTGTGTGTGTGTGTGTATGTATGTGTGAGAGAAAGAGTTTCTATAGAAGTAGAATGATCAGATTTTTTTAACTCTCAAATCGGGACCCGCAGGTGGTGGAGGGCATTCCTCTGCAGGCAGTCTGTGGTATTTAAGGATATTTTTCTGAGCTGATAAAATGTCAAGGTTGCCTCAGACAGGTGTTGCAGCAATTCCACCTTATCTAGCGTCGCACCAGCCATCGGCGGATGAGCCCAGTTAACATGCAACTCTGCTCATATCACTGTCTGATAAGTGTGCCCACACAGACACATGCAGCCAACCCTTCACTGAGTCACATTTACTCAAATTGGGAATTGGAACGTGTGTGTGTGTGTGTGTGTGTATGTATGTGTGAGAGAAAGAGTTTCTATAGAAGTAGAATGATCAGATTTTTTTAACTCTCAAATCGGGACCCGCAGGTGGTGGAGGGCATTCCTGTGAATTTGTATTTATTTATTTGTTAAATTTTTTTTGTGAGAGGTGGCCACCTATGCCTGAAATAATGATATGAATGATAATACATGTAGATGTAAAATATATAAAAAGTGTAATTTCATCAAAAATGAGAGAACATTTCATACAGCGTAGCTGGCATATATCTATAGTTTAAAAGCACAATGAAACAGAATTAGTGACTATGTATGCATAATACATACATATATTAATTCGTTTAAGGCTAACATGCATTTAGAAAATACATAAATGTTAAATTTAGGGTAAATTAGATAGGACATTTCATCCAAAAGTTAATGTCATCATTACTCATCCTCATGTTGTTCCATACTCATTTGACTTTTTTTTTTTTTCTCTCCACAGAATACAAAGGAAGTGAACTTAAAAACTGGATCCATCTGATTTGTGAACAAATCATTAAAACGATCTAACTCAAGTGAAGGAATCGTTCACAAATTGGACACTGTTATTTCACTCATGAATGCACTCCATCCCTGCATTTATTTGATATGGTAAAAACAAATTGTGAAATATTACAATTTAAAAGAACTGTTTTCTTTTTAATATATTTTAAAAATGCAATTTATTTGTGTGATTGATATTTATTGATTGTCAGTTTTTAGCAATTTGAGAAAATTTGTGGACTACTTTTATAATACTATTTTGTCATTTTATACAGACGTTTTGGTCATTTTTGAGTTTGAGAGCCAATTCAACATAAATACATTAATTTATACAAAGCAAAACAACTTTATGGATTGTGTGCAGGAGAGAAAGCACCTAAAGGTAACATGCACACACAAAAAAAAAATGTCAGTATAAGTGGTACAATTCATACTTTTGATGTACGTGTATTCAAAACCCATCCGCATATATAACTTTTAATAAACAGAGCAAAGTAGCAGAGGATGTATGGGGGCGTCTGGGTGGCGGAGCGCGGTGGAGTGCGCATCTGAAGCCTTGTTTATACTTTCAATCAACTTGTAATGGGCAAGAAAAAGCTTAGACTCTCCAATGTCATCCTGTTGAGAGTCAAACAGTTCTAGAAACGGGAGCTAGAATGACACTGACGATTCTTCATTTCAGTGAGTATAATTAGCCAAATAAGCATCTTTAATGGCTTAAATGACTACAGAATAAAGCTGATAGACTGTTCCTAAATCTGTGAATGTGACAGCACACAACAGTGAAAAATGATTATATTATATTATATTATATTTCTTACAGTGGTATTGAGGTTTTTAATGTATCTAATTTACTTATTACGTGTCCATATGGTTTATTGTGGGTTATGGCCTTTTTGGTCTGTGGAGATCTGTATATTTCAGTAGAGCATGTTTACATAGTACATATAATTCTTGTTTCAAAAGATCACAGAAAATTTGATTTGTCATGATACGGTGTGACCCATTCGAAATAATGGCATGATTTAGTGTAGAGCCAAGCGCAGGTACATTACTGCTGAAATTACTGCTGTAATTTTCAGCACATTTCCATCAGTAAAATTCAACTTATTAACAGGAGAGGAGGAGATCTTGCGCTGTGCACAGGAAGCCATGCGCTCTCCTCCAACGAAGGTGTGTGACTAAATGTTAAGTGGAGATTTTGTGCCTTTGAGGTCAGCTGTAATATGGTGTTATGTTAAAGCTAATTTCAAAAGAAGGTTAAGGGTGCACTGGCTTCCACTGGATTTTCAGAGAAAAAGCTTTTGAAGCTCACACAGTTGTGTTTATCGGAGGCAGATGATCATTTCTTCACATTTTGTGGATGTGACTGGCCTCTTTCATCTGTGCCTTTTGGACAAGCATGTTTTGGCTGGACTGTTCAAAGTTGTTTAAAAGTGGAAATGGCATTTGAGGCTGATGTCTGACCTTTCTACACAATCTCCAGTCTGCAGCCACACACACAGAGATAGATGGCCACAAAAACACGCCGTCACAACAATAACACAAATACACACACACAAACAAACACAAATACACACACAGACACACACACACACACACACACG